AAAACTTCTAACAAAAGCTAAACGGAAAAACGATAAAAAAATATGAAGTAATATACAAGTTCCAACTTACAACAAATGAACTCTAACTAACCTTCACTAATCACCATTCTAACCTTACCTGCTTCGAAATACCTATAGAATTGCGTTCAAACACTCATAAAACATGGGTTCTGTCTACACCACGTGCGAGAGGATTTTTTTAAAAATTTGACAACTGGATTTATCCGCGTTCTTGTTTCCAGGACCCTGTAAGAAGAGTTTTTCTACCGAAAATTCGCCGTTTTGCGCGCATAATCACATAACTTTCATTTCTTAAGAAGTTCTTTCATAAGCGCAAGAAAGAAAAAAAAATAATAGTTTTGGCGCAACGTTGAGTGAAATACGTGCATTATTTAAAAAAGGATAAAAAAACAAAATATTTCGAAAACAGCTCCAAATTTTGTTTCTACGTTTGGTAGGCCGTGTGGTTAATGTGCTATATAAGATGACATAAACGCCATGTATCTCTAGTGTTTTGTTTTTATCAAAAAATTACAAAAATGATTTTTTTTATTTTTAAGGTCGTATATATTTACATTAGAGGCAATTTGTTTACATTATTGAATTTGTTAAAACAAATGCTTAAAATTATATCTTATAACGTTTCGCGAAAACTCAAAGTTTCTGAGTTTTCCTGCAGACAGTGAAATAAATGTAAAATTAGGAAAAACTTTGCAAGGATGTTCAGATGTACAACTAATTGAAACTAGTGATGCTAAAACCAGCACCCGTTTTACAATACACGAAGGCGTCACAAATTATAGCCGTGAACAAGGATTAAAATGCGCGCTCCCTGCAGGCAACGAAAGTAATGGAATTTACGGGTAGATTTCGCTAGTGTCAGACGCAGACGTGACGTGATCCAAGGGAGTAGGGAAACCTATTCAGCCGAGACAGGTGACAAGGAAAGTTATAAAACTACGAAGTCATTGCGTAGTAATCCAATTCCACAGTTGAACATCTCCAGGAAGGCGTAACTCTTCATTCCAGATATATCTGGAATATATTCTTAGAAGAAGAGTTTTATTTTGTAGTGTACTTACTGCGATTTTTCTAACTCTGGCCCTCTAGTCCTCATTCACGGTGGCATTAGACACTGTTTTTCGCGTCTTTCTCGGTCGTGCCGCTAGATGTCGCATGTTCGCGACCGTATCCCGCACGTTCGCGATCATGCGACATCTAGCAGCATGAACGAGGAAGACGCGATAAACAGTGACATAATGCCACCGCGAAGTAGAACGTTGAGGTGAATGGTAAGAAAAATCGCAGTATAGTATAAAATTATGTTCGAGGCAGTAAACTACTTATTGACATGTTTATCACGCGAGGCTGATGATGTGTGTGTAGTAGTTAAAGTATTTTTTTTCAGAAATGATTTATTATATACATATTGTTTTTGGTAAAGTGCTTACTTAGTGAATTATGAGATTAATATGCTCATTTAAAAAATGTAATATTAGAGTACAGAGAGCCCACGTCTCTTATCATATAAATTTGCTTGCATGACCTACTGCTGCAACACTGAACCGACTGGACGACTTTATTCAAGTGAGGGTAGGCCATAATACTTTCTCGCTTGCATAATGATATTTATACAGCAATTTCTGTCCAAATTAACACATCGCAGACATTTTTTTTGTAAAACTCAATACAAATCGCAGAACATTACGTACAAAATCGAAATATTTTCCAGCATATATCAACACAAAAACTGCGTTTTAAACAGCTAAATATGTCCCAACAATGAGACGGGATTCAAAGAATTACAACTAACAAATAGAATACGGGTAATTAGAATTTGCAAAATTACGCCAAACAACGTAGAATAGTACGTCTGATTCTTCATTCAACAAAAAATGATTGAAATTGTACTTTTGCCATGATAATTTTTGTACGTTTGTAATTTGTAATATTGATTTTCTTGCCCAAATATTTGTATAATTTCAATTAAGGTTATTACATATTGACGTTAAATGAGGCTACGACCATTTATTTGCCGACTTATTGCCACCGACTTATTGCCACCGCTTCAAACGAAGCGCGGGAAATTCGAATATAGCATTTCATCCCTCTTTTCTTTTCTGTTCTTTTTTTTCTTTTCTTTTCTTTTTTTCTCCCAGTTTTCGAAAGTACAGAAAGAGTGGCCAGAAGAGATGGTTCATGCATGAAGTAATGTAACTGCAGTGTTTCTGACCTACAGTGTTTCTGTCGTTAGGTTCGAGTCCCGGAGGCAGGATTTTCGACACTAGCTGGATAGCTAGCTCGAATTCAGTTGCTGTCTGGAGGAGAAATCTAGCGGCCGGCTGATCTGATCGAAAGGTTTCCGTACTTTCTTCGATACCAGGCGAATCCCGGAGAGGTACCCTAACAAATGGACCACGTGACTCAGGGCAAAACTCAGGAGAACCGGACACGGGTGAGAGAGACAGAAAGAGAAATAGATACAGAGTGAGGCCGGAGAAGCCGCTGGAAGGGCGTACATGACCGCGCCTGTTATTCCTGCTATATATGAGACGAGGGGTCGATTGTGGTCTACCGCTGTCGTGACGGGATATATATAATATATATATATATAATATATATATTATATAATATATATATATATATATATTCTAAGCTTTTTAACCAACCCACCTACCCCCGAAACTTACCACCTTCACAGTAGCACGCGTGAACGTAAGAGGGTGTTCAAGATTTTGTCGTGAAGCGAGCTTAAAAATCTAGGGAGCAGGATCTTAGGTACGAGAAAGGTTTGAACCCTTGACACATAAAATCACACAGATTGCACCAAACGAGCGTATAATTTACTATAAAACTTTTAGTGGCATAAGTAATGACAGAACCAAGAATATAGAAATCCAACTTTACAAAGAATGATCAAATCACAACATAGAAACCTTTACAACACACACTCATATGAAATGAACACATAACAATTTACTCCAAAATTAAATACTCAAATAATTACCCTAATCTACACTGGAATTCCCTTGGAAGATTAATTATACTAAATTTATGCTATTCTAAATTACATTGCACATGAAACCAAAAATTAAATTTACAATCTCCACCTTCAAAATATTCATGCAAGAACAAAAATGTGTGCAAGTGCACTACTCTCATTTACAATTTAACTGTGTTGAAATAGGCTAGAATAATAAATATCTAAGTAAATGTTTTATGCAGGAAATAGCGCATCAACGTCTCCGTTATAATACTCTGCAATTTGTTGCCACGGTGATCCTCATTTCTTAACACTTTCCTATACTAGTTTTTCCCGTAGCCGACGTGAACTTGAGCCATATTTTCCCGCGACTAACCAGTTACCTCGTGAACTTACACCCTTTTTGGCCTTGATGGGTCGTAGCGCTGTGTCGCCGCGTCGATCGGTCCGCCTGCCGTTCGGTCCAAGCTTCTGCGTCGTAGAGAGACGTGACGTCGCTTCCTGCCGTCTACCTGTTTGCTTCTTGCGTCCCTTCCGTTCTTCTTCCTCCAGTCGATCGCTCTTCTTCTCGTGGCCTGGATCTTGCCTCTATTCTCTCGTCTGCTTACTGGCGTCTCTGACTACACCCACGTTGCGCAAAATGTCCTTGCACTTTCACGCGAACTACTCGATGCAAGTTCCTCACTCGTTGCTACTTTAACTTTGCTAAGCCAGAACTTTAATGATGCTTCTCCTACAACACGGTAACTTTTTACTTCCCCGTGTTGTTTAATGTGAAGGAATACTTATTACTGAATCTAGCATTTCTGCGGACGACTAACTAAGAACGTCTGTTCTACCATAGTAGTCGCTGCAGGCGGCAAACAATATCTTGAGCTAATTTTAACGAAAGTTTGGCTCGGCGAGCGATGATCAAAAATGCTTCTGCTCGGCGATCACGGTGGTAAGAAGAGAGCTTCCGCTTGCGAGTTCCGTATTTATCGTCCGACGCCTGGGAAATTCCTCAAGTGGATGGGGCTGCTCCCCTCTGCACGCCCTTCACAGGAAAAGCATTGGGCTTGCTAGTAATTGCTTTCGTTTAGTCACGGGCAACGATACCAGCCCAGCGTTTAAGGTACCTCTGCCTTACAACGCCTGTTATCCTCGCTGGCCACCGTAGTGTTCAACACATTGAGACAGTGGTGTTATGGGGGCATTGCACAACCCATAACGCCACAATAATGTATATATATATATATATATATATATATATAATATATATATATTTAAAAAATATTTATAAAATTATTTTTTTAAATATATATTATATAACGCGCCTAAACTATGCGTAAGATTCTGTTCCAAACAGAATAAACCCCTGCCGATTTGGGATCACTAGAAGCTGAGCTATTTTAAAAAACATTCATTAAGTTTTGGGGGAACTCTATATGAATTACAGGGGATATTTTCCACATTTTCTCAAAACTGGCGGTATCTTGTAATCGTGTAGTTTCTTGTTATGAATTTGGCGAAATGTCACATTTTCGATTTAACTAAATAGCAACAAAATTTATTTTTTGGGAACGATTGAGCAACAGAAAAGCAAGAAATTCTCATGTAACTATTTTTTAATTCTGTACTTCTGGTATTCATGCAACTGTCATACCAAATTGACGTCAAATTAACAATATGTATCAAGGGATAAAAAAGAGCGACACATTTTTATTTTGCGAAACAAAGGAACTACAAAACGTGACTATTTTAAATGAATTTAAAAGAGGGATAATACAGGGAAAACAGATTCAGGTGCCAGAGGTTTCCATGGTGAGGTACCTCCGCCCCGAACATCCACGAAGTGCCCGCTAACATCAACACAGTCTGTCACTTTGCTCGCGATATTGAGACACATTGTACCGTTTAAGAGGATCTTTACAGAAATAGATCGCGAAATTAGTTATCAGAACTCAACTTCACTCTATTTGAAAGTAGCGAAAGGATTAATGATAGGTCATTAAACGAGTCTTTTTTTAAGAAGTTAATTTTTATTAGCGTATTTACAAAACGTAAACAAAAAGAACAAAACATAGAAGTAACATAAATAAATAAAAGTGAGGGGGTCAGTGAGGATAAGTGTCGGATCTGCCTTAGTAGTAGCCACCGCCCAAGCCACCTCCGTAGCCGCCGTGGTGCACGACGGGAGACGGGTGCTTGGCATGGCCCGACTTCTTGACGACGGCGTTGAAGCCGTTGTGCTTGTCGGCGGTGTACTCCACGGTGCGGATGGTGCCGTCGGGCTCCACCAGGCTGTACTCGCCCTTCACCACGTCGCCATCCCGAGTCTCCCACTGGTTCTTCACATCACCGGTATGGGGATCGTGCACGGCGTAGTCGAACTTGTACTGCGGGTGCGCCTTTAGGGAAAAAAGAAATAAAGAAAGAAAATATAATAACCACCATCAATATGTTAAATTAAACAACACAATTAATCAGCAGAATATATCAAATCAATCTGTTTGGGTTTGTTTAGAAATATAATACATCTTTTATTTGACAACATTGCAGAAAATCATAGCCAGATTTATATTTTGGATACTATTTGTGACAGTGCGAATAATATTACGAGTATTTTTAGATTGTGTTGCTCTATTTTCTATTTAATATAATTACTTAAAAACGCTCAGTCGTTGACAGTATTACATTGAGAAGTTTTGTATCAAATGAAAATTATAAAGAAATACCAAATCTTGCTGAATAGTGTCTCTCAGTGAATAATCCGGACAGTCAAGTGCTGCTACTAGAATTATTTGTACTTATTTAAAACAAAATATTCATCACGTAAATCTTTCTTTGTCTTTTCACAGTTAGAAGACAATTACCGTTCTAAATCAATGTACGGTTGGCCATTTAAATAGAAAATATTCTGATCCCTAGAAATACTAACTTCCCTGGAACAAAAAACATCACAACGGAATACAGCACTCACATAATAATCGACGTGGTGGCTTCCATGGCCGCTGTAGCCGCCGTCGCCCCCTCCGTAGCCGCCGTCGCCGCCGGCGCCAGCGCCGCCGCCGTAGCCGCCACCGAGGCCCGTGCCGGCGCTGTAGCCGTAGCCAATGTGACCCGCGCTGACGCACGCTCCTAGCGCCACAACGGCGAGGACGGCGGATACCTGAATGATAGTAGTTACGTACTCAGTTTTCTCACGGTACTAAGGGTCAATACTTCAAATGGAATAAGCTGGAATATCGTGTTGCAAGGAATGAAGAAAAAATAGTATGCCTACATAGTTTTTAAGTGTATAAATATATTTATGTATATTATGTTTCATAAAATAGTACAGAAAATGAAAATGAAAACTCACAAATTAAAAAAAAAAAAAAACATCGTCTCCTTGCTAAGGTTGGTACTAATATTTCAGTAGAAAAAGGGAGGTAGGGCGAAGGTTCATTTCAATGAATTTTGAAGTTTCGTTCTGAGTAAATCACCAATATTCTTTAAACAATGTCATCTTGTTATTGAAAGACTGCCTTTGAATATTTGAGATCATAATTCATTGGAGGATTAGACTAATGACAGACCACTGTAGATTTTCTATCATAATGATTACATTGCAGTTGGTGTGCTTCATAATGATTATAATATGTAATTTCGTTGTTCATTTACTTTGGCGCGCTAATGGCAACGCAATTCTGAATTATCTGCGTGAACGAATTACGTTTGCGGCGTCGGGCAAATGATTTTGATAATTGATTTTCTCTTCTAATTTTATCATAAATTTGCAGGTAATCTGCAAGTTTGTTAGTTTCCTTAATGTCTCTCCTCCAATAGTATTGTAATGTGCCGTGTAATGAGATTAAATTATTTAGGATATTTGTAATTTATACTACAGGTACATAACGTTTTTGACGTGCGGCATCACAAAATATGTAATGTATAGTTTGGAAGTTTGTAAAAAGGTGATGTAATGTTTGCAAAGTAGTGTTCGTAAAGTAAAGTTTGTAATGATTGAGGGTTCATTATAACGCAAATATGAAAGCATTTCGGAAAAATACTGCATTCTTTTCAATTTAAAACAGACATTCCCTGCATTAATTATTTAAATGCAGCGAAATAATCGACTTTTGCGACTCCTTCTTTTGGATTATTAATATCTTTCGAGAGCCAAACGACAGGGTATTAATTCTTATTAATATTTTCAAACCCTGAAAGGCAGAATTGCCGAACGGAAAGAAAATAAAAAAAAGGAATCGAATAAGAAATTACTTTCCTTGTACGTGTAATTATAGTTGATCATCTAAATGCTCAGAAAATAGCAATGAGTTTTCAAGAGCACATTTGCACGCAAGCAGCGAGTGCCCTTCGTTTCGGGGTGCGAGCTTTCCCAGCAGCGCAACGGCCTCCTCCGCTCCCCTCCCCCACTCTTCCTCTATTCGCTTCCTCCCAGCCCTCCTCGCTCCCGACCCCCGTCCTCAACACTCGCTCTGTTTCGGTCCTTCCTGTGCTTCCTGCTTGCTGTCATCTTCCACTACCACCATTGCCGCTCTTTCCTTCTCATCATCGTCCTTTTTATACTTTCCTAGACATTAGCTGCCAGTTACCTACGTAGTATTTCTGCCATTTCATATTGTGTCCCTCTTGTACCTTTTCGCACCTCCCTCCCTCAAATGATCAGTCCCTCCCCCTCGCCGATGCATCGCTGGAGAGATCGCCGACTGCCGTCATTGTTCCGCCCGTACGCGACTTCCGGGTGGCGGTCGCAGCGTCCGTCCCGGTGCGAAGCGCGTAATTGACGAGCACAAAGGAGAAAGTCCCGCCACCCCCTCCTCTCCCACGCAGGTCCGGCCGCGGCGCGGCGCCACCGCTGCGTGAAGATGCGCCTGCCTCAACCCCGACCTCCCTCCTGCCTCCTTACGGAGCTCTCCCAAATTCAGGCTCAGCTCCCGTCCCACCGCTTTCCATTCTGCGTGCCTTTAGCAGCGTTGCTTTCAAAACATAAACTCCGCTGCGGGTAGAAAAGGCTAAATAGTATATTGGGATATCATAAGATGTTTGTATTTTATATTTGTAACGTGCAATGGGCTTCTGAATGTCTATAAGGAAAGATACATCTTAAATCCATTTTGTTTACGAATGGTTCTCGTACGGGTTCTTTTAGTGGAAGCTCATGGAGTAATTACTTTCTCTGGACAAGTTTCCACAGTTTACCGACTGAGAAAATGTCAAAAGAGTACTGATAGTTTACATGGTAATTATAGCTCTATTTATTGTCTCCTCTTTGCCGAATCCCGGAATTCTCATACGAAACGCAGTGCTTCGTATACTTATTTTTCCAACTTTGAATAATCGTTGGGATTCACAAGACTTTTTCACAAAACCAACAGCTTTTCTAATACCTATCACTTTGAGAATTTTTACAACCTCTTTTATCATTTTTGTTTGACATTTTATCTAGTGAACTTCCATCAATGTCTCGATTTTCAACACATTCATGCGCCGTCATCTTCCCTACGCGATACACTTGTGCCCTAGTCACCGTGACTTGCGCCTCTCCAGAAACTATGGAACCAGGCTGTGGGGAATTATGGCTCTTTCGTGGGTACAAGAACGTTTCCGTGTCGTGTGTTCCAATCGACGAGGAAGGATATATTTCTTATGACCAAATATTTTGCTGCCACTTAAGTGAGACAGGAGGTTAGGAAATTACAGTATTTATGATAAGGTAGAAGTTCGCGTAGGGAATATAATTCAGATCCGAAAGTTTACATTCCCAGTTTTTGTGAAATGAAGTTGAAATACTTCTGTCTTCCTTTCTTGTTTTAGGCACGTATTAGCTAATCGTAGCGCTTTCGCAGGTATTTTTATGTTAAAAAGATTTATTTGTGCTTTGCAAGTCTATCATGAAAATAAATTTTGAACACTTTACAGTTGCAAGGCTCGACCATTTTCGAGGATCGAAAGTTACAAGGAAATGTATCGAATATAATATTTGTTTAAAGTTTTGTTTCATTATTAAATAAGATTAATTATTGTCAATAGATGGATCGATCCCTAATGATTCGTACAAAAGCCGGAAATACCAATGACATTTCATATGTCTCGATTGGTGGAAGGGAAATGGTCCAACCGGAAGTGAGGAAGAATCAGACGTAGGTTACTCTATTACTATACAAGAATGACAAGTTTTATGAAGTTAATAAAACCAAAGAAGCTCAATGGGTGGTACCAACGACTTGTTCATAATTATGCAGGCTGTTATTGTTGGGAAGAAAATTGATACAAAATCTGAGAGGTGTTGACCAGAAAACATTCCTAAACCTTCTTATGTCAGGCAAATATTTATCCATACAGCTTACGATTTCTAAATATATGAAATGAATATACAATAAGATCACAGTACATAATATTTGCATTACGATACAACATATAGGTGTTGTGGGTAGTATCTTTGGCATTTTAAAATAATATAAAGATGTTGTCATTGCCACAATGTTTTTTTTAATTCAATAGCTTTGTTGGTTCCATCTTAGCAGAACAACTGATGATGATGGCTAAGCATGACAAGCTGCTATTCGAATTAAAAAACTTTGGCATAGAACTAAATCTTTAATTATTTTTACGATCACGAACTTTTATAAAACTATGCCTCTGATAGTTAATTGCAGGGACTTCATGCACAGAAGATATTTTAATACACGAATTATTGAATTATTATGTCAAATTATTTTGCTCCCTTGCCATTTATCAGCCGTGAATTATCTTCAATGTTTCATGTACATATTTTTATCTTCTGATTTCCTGCAGTTTCGAAAACCATTGGAAAATATATTAATGTTACTAAACATTTGGATACGTTTATTTGCTTTTCAGAACTTTTTCTGTTCGGTAATAACGTGATTTCTTAAGGTATTTTTACACGCCCCTTGCGGTAGAGACCCCTTTCTCTTATAACATCGGTCACGGAACGCCGAAAGAACTGAACCGAAGAATGTACACATTACGTAAGGAATACTTTCTTCAATCGTCCTAGACTTCTCACAGAACCGCTATCTCTCCCCTGACCGTAGTCGTTTCCGGAGACGCTAAATCACAATTAAATGTAGCGGTAGCTTCATTGTTTTTTGTATTTCTTCTTAACAATTAGACTTTCACTTACTCTCACTTCTATCATTTTCCTGGACACTTAATGAACTCACAAAATATATCCCTAATAATGAACTTAAATAACAAAAAGTGTGAATAAATTAATTATTTACGAGTATATCAAGGATGGCCATTCGAATAGGAAATGATTCAAAATAATTTTTGTAAATAATTTAACATTGTATCGTTCTCATTTGTCACTTTTTTATTTATCGTAAAAGAACCAAATCCCAAAAAAAATTATTTTCAGAAAATATTGATAGAAAATTTCTTATTAATAATTAAATAAGTAGTAAAAAGTTTATATAACTCATATTATGTTTTAAATAAAAAGCCGCCATACAATTGTCAAGAACTATCGTATTGTGCTCACGTATCATTTGTGCTCTTTTCTAGCATTCCTTCATTCATTTAGGACGTAGACGACACCCAACAATAAAGGATATATCCGATCTCCCTGCTCGAAGGGACGACGTTTTTATTTCAGGGACCAATTTAAAATTCCAGTTCTATGGGTCACTGTCAAGGTTCGTCGTTCTTTCTTTCCTTTCCCTTTCTTTGCGTGTCTGCGGAGGGAAACCGATTAAAAACCTGCTCCAGTTGTGGATGGCCCAGCGCCACCGACGCGGCACCTGCGCCGGTGCTTTCTCTTTTTACTTTCCGACCCATCGGCGGATCGACTGGTTACCGACTCGCGACTCGACCGGCCCGACTCGTCCGAATTCACGGTCGCTTCAAGAGGCGCTGTAGGTTATTGCCGCGATCGAGATCCACTTTCTACGCGTAAAATAGTGGGGTTATTAGGTCACCGAAGCAGTCTGGCGAATCCTCCCAACGAAACGTCCATGTGAGACAATCGATTTGCTCTCGCTCTACTTGTCGGTGGTCGTTCTCACCGTTTCTTCGCCTCATCGAATGAATCCCGGCTTTGTTTGAACCGCACAGATTTCCGGCATTAATCGGTTCTTGAAATGACGAGGAATTAAAAGGTACATCAATTTTGAAACATTTTCATGATTGTGGATTAGAATAGAAGTCTCATTGGAGGAACACGAATTTCAATCACATTTACAAAATCTTATTGATTAAAATAAACTTGTTGAAAAGGAATTACGTCTCCGAAACAAACGGAATCCAGGCGTCGTTATTTTCAATGAGTATATCCATAATTTTTTGTTTTGAGTTTGGGTTTTGATAATGGCGATGCACATAAGAAGTGATAAAAAGTTTCGAAAATTGTCAGTTTGCAGGACAGTTTTATTCTGACCGGAGCCGTTTATTCCAGGGTAAAACACGAACTATTTTACTGTATTCTCATCTCAAGCTGTCTTTGCATTATCTTAAGAAACGTTTATCTGTAAAAATATTCTGTATTGTTCATCTATCTCAGTAGTAATTCTTATGTGTACATTTTCTTATGCACCAATTACGTATGTTGGTAGATAGGTAAGTATGTATGCACTTTGGCACAACAGTTCTTTACGAGCTAGGCCCTACGAGCAGCGCCCCGGCCATGCAGCCAAGGGTTAAGGGGAATGTGTGGTTTGCACATAGCCATTTCTACGCTGTATTCTGGTCTTCTTAGCCTGAGAAGTGACCTTTCTCATCGTCACACAACAACAGACGCTGACTCATTCCAAAGGAAGTGCACAATTAATTTTTGCCCCGACCGGGAAGCAAACCCGGAGTTGCGCCGTGGAAAGCTAGCACGGTAACCAAAGAGCCACCGCGGGCTGTATGCGTCGAGGGCTCTATGTATGTATTCAAAATTATGAATCATTATTTTACAATGCAGTTTAATGGTGAATTTCATTGAAAAATCCAAGCAACTTCGTTGCTCAATAACACTATAAAAAATAACTTGAAATGTCGGGTTAATTAAACATATATTGTAAAAAAATTGTGTGAAATTTAAGATTGCATGAATATGTTCTTCTGTACTTATATTTTTACCTGAAAATTGGAACATAAGAGGATAAATTTTCTCTAAGTTAATATTTAGTCACGCTTTTCTGGTAGTAATGCAATTTAGAGCAAACTCTACCGGAAAACTGTATTGATTATAAGCTTGAAACACGAACTAAGAAAACTACCTGAAGTAATTTTACATACTGGTCACCTTCCTCATGGTCGCATCTCACTGACGGATACATTTTTTGATATCTTAAAATAGCTTCAATCAATCTCTTGAATGAACCTACTAATGTATTTCTGTGAACCTAAGTTTTACTTCTTACATATTTTTTTGTTTATCTCTTTATCTCGAGAGTAACACTATGACTTGCTCACGTGAGTTCCCTACAGCGTTAGACGTATTATTGAGTACTGAACTACATGTGATACATCGACATGGAAATGTGTATCGCATCTCAATGACAGACATTCGATTCTAGTGCAACACTACCGTCGCCAACGCCCCTCCGACGCGAGAGGTGCCGCCGGAGGTCGGTACCGGGCCTCACCTTGAAGCAGTGCATGGCGAGGAGCGGCTGTGCTGGGCGAAGCGGCTGCTGGGGCTGGAGCTGGAGCTGGAGCTGGAGTTGGGGCTGCTGCTGGCGCTGGGCGAGCGGTGACGTCCCGTCGGCCGCCCGCGCCTTTATACACGGCTTCGCGGTGACGTCGGCCGCGCGGGAAGGGGCGGCAGGGCGGGGCGGGGCGCGCTGGCGCGCTAGAAACCAGCGGTCGCACACGCGCGTCGCACTGCTCATGCCGAGAAACGGCGGGGAGGGGCGGAGACGCTTTGCGCCGCTCGTTTGGCACCTCCGCCCCAACCGATCCTGCGTCGCCACATTGTCAACCAAATTCATCGCCGAAGAGAGTTCGAAGGGAAATTCCTGCCATTGGGTCCGAAGCATCGACCATGAATCCAATTACGTTTCTCAAACGAGTCAGAAGAGGAAGCAAAATGCAGTACAACAGATATTGTATAGGCGCTGCCGCCGCGTTGTGCAACGCCTCTGTGGTGCTCCTCATGTGGTGGCGTCGCGTGCCACGCGGTTGGTGGCGCGTGGCGTCCCCGGGCGGGGTGTGGCGGTGGCTGGCTTTCCAAATTAGCTCCACTCACCCCTGGGGTCTGTCTGTTATTATGCCTTGTTTTAGTGTCTTGTCCTGCTGTCCCCTGAAGGGCTCTGCACAGCACTTTGGAGGTCGTTGCACTCGGGTCGTTGCAATGGGAATTCGATCTCCGAATGTGGGGCAAAAAGGTGACTACTCCCTGCGGGTAAATATGCACATGATCGGAAAGAACATAACAACGCAAAATTGTGCAAACTGCTATATACTGGTATGTTTCAAATGTTTTCTGTCTCTGTATCTAATAAGTAATAACACTTGTTTTCATTTCAAAACTAAATGTAGAGGACAGAACGATTATGTAGTTCAAAATAATCTGCCAATGTCGGAAATATATTTTGATAAAATATAATTTCCAGGAATAAATCTACAAGCAATCTACAGTTTTTACCCTTCGATAGTTTTGTGATAATTTTGATTGCAATGTGAATGTGTCGTACTGTCATTGTAGAACCAACTTATAGAAGAACAAGCACAATACTCGAAGTTCCCTGGACTCTTTATTTTGCCCTCGTTTAGAGAGAAGAAAAGAATCAATTTTTTGTAAATAACATGGATTTAAAAATATTATTTTATTGAAGAATTGGTTTACATTTTAATAAAATATGTACTATCATTATCTTTCAGATAATTATTCAGGACACTTTTCAAAGTCTGCCCAGCATCTTAAACTATTTTCTTAAACCCATATTTGTAAGTTTCCATTCTTTTAAATAGTTAGAAAATTAAAATTAATTCATAGTTAAAATTTGAAAAATACATAATTTTTATAAGCATATAATACTTGCACTGACGTATACGAATATTACATTTATGGATATACGAATATTCGTACTAATGTTATATGCACTACCAATAATTAAAAATTCCATACAAGATAAAACTACATTCTTCACAGAAAATTAAGGCATATTCAATTATTTGTGAATTTTTTGTGTTAATTAAATTGCATATGAACTGAAGCAATGTTCATTTTGTAAATCTTAATTTAATTGTCATTCCAATAGGGGAAAGAAAAGAAAAACAGTTTGTCGTATTAACAAAAAGTATGAAATGGCATTGCATACTGTCAAAAAGGTTTCCCAATGATTCCAATTCCCAGAAAATCGTTACTAAATACAAAATAAAATTCAAATTACATAACAATTGGAGATTTACGTTAGAAATATATTTTAAACAATTTCCAAAACACTTCATATTTTAAAACATGCAGACAATGTTACTCTATTGATTTTTTGTCAAGAACTCTAGATACTACCAGTGCTTACATGCTTTAATTCAACTTAGAAGTACTGTTTTTAATGAAAAAAAATATTCTGATCTGTATTTGTAGAGGCAAATGTTAGGAATGTTTAGTATTTCAAAAGGCAAAAAGAAAGTTTTCTTAATTAAGATTCAAATTCCTATTATCTATGTTGTGACGTTGTTGATGAAAAATAATCATACGGGTAATTGTAAAATATATGCTGAACCCACATATAATTATTTTAAATACGACAGACATGTATACGTTTAAGTACCAATGTACAAGTAGCATGTAATATAATACTTATTTGTTTAGTTAAATTGCATGCCATTGAAACATTAAAATCATACTAATCCACCAAGAAGTGCAATCAGTGAACACAATAATTAGATCTACATTCAGCGCCGAACAGCCGTGGTGAAAAAATCTCTCGTTCAGGGCTAGTCAGTGCAGTTACCTAGTGACTTCCTAAACGTGTGACAGTGAAGTGCTCGTTGTGTAGTGAAGTGAAGTACAATCAGCGAATATACTGTGCGCCATAAACCAACAGTCGCTTATCAGTTACAATTAAAAGTGAGCCCCTGTCTTCCCCCTACCTTCTGTGGAGCTCTAACCCCAGTCGTATACGAACTGGCCCCTGGTGCGCGACGTCTCTTGGAATGGCGCCCACAACAACAACAACCGTTGTGGTGTTGAGTATGCCTGTTGTGAATCTGACTAAGTGATTATAATTGTAATAAATGCCTTTTTGGTTCCTCTGTTTGATTAAGTATTCTAATGTTGATGATGGTGTCTTCCGTTCTGTTTACTGTCTCCTGTTGTGTTAGCCTCCTAAAATTTTTTTAATCAAGTTGTTATATCGCTACGGGGTAATATATAATACGTTGTGTATCTTTTAAATTGTAGTAAATGTTTTTAATTAATTTGCCTTTCAAAGCTATTTAGTAGTCGTTGTGTTTCAATTTTAATTTTTAATGTCTTCATTATTTATATTCTAGTTAAGCAAAGCACCTGATGAAGAGCCTTGACAGCTCGAAACGAGTAGTGAAAAAGGATGAAAAGAGAACAACACCGCCCAAATTTGAGATTGTATACTAGTATTATTAATTTGTTAGTTTCAAAAGAAGCTAAAATATAAAAAATCGTGAGGCAAATTGCATAGCTTTTACATCTGTAGGCATGTGTATGTTTATAATCATTCGTTTTCTTCGTCAAATCGAATTTCGTCCTAGGTCGTTAAGATCCGCTGAGACTTTTTGAATAAGGTTATTTTTGTGATCGTCTGTCAAATGTTTAAGGATTATGTTTCTCTAATTACAAACAATAAGTTGGTAATAATTTTTTTGTAAAA